AAGAAAATTACCAAAAAAGAAAATTTTTTAAAAAAAATGTGGATCAGTGGAAAGAGTTTTTAAAGATCTTCTTTTCTTTGTTCTATAGTTTATAAGTAAAAAATATATTTATTTAAAAACATTGGTTTTAATGAAGATAATATGATCAACATCCAGAATTTTAGTGATGGTATTATCAATAATCAAGTATTTAATTTGACTTGAGGCTAAAGATAGGTCCCTAAAGGAAGAGGTAAGAACAAAGGTCAAATGTTTTTCATTAGTAAATATTAAAATTTTTAAATAAATAACTATAAAAAAACTACTTATAATTGTTCTTCATTATTCAAATCACTGATTTATAGTATTTCCTAATTTTTGTTCCTATTAAAGTAAAAAGCTATAAATTTTGTTTCTCAAAAAAGAATATAAGTGATCTGTAAAATTTTATATATTAAATACTTTAGGAATTCATCATTACTTGGAGATAAGTTTGTGATAGTTTCTTAAGTTAAAGTGTCATTCAAGAAGGTTTATTAGGCTTATAATTTTCTTTGTTAATTATATTTATTTATTAGTTGAACTAAAGTTTCAATGCTATTTTTTTTACTTGAATTAATTTATAAATCAAGTTTTATAAAATTAATAAAAGATAAGAAACAAGTTCTTAGATAGTGAAAAAAACTATTATTTGTTGAAGTCAAGATCTTTTTCTCTTATTATTCTAGTCAGACAACGTTCAAAATCAAGATTTCTTTTTTATTTCAGTTAGATAATAATATCAAATGATCTCTAAATTATACTAAGTTCTAATTCTTTGATTATAGTTAAGAATATACTTTCTTAGAAATTATTAAAGAATATTATAATTGATGAGAATCTTCAATTATCCTTAATATTTTTTTATTATTAATAAACTATGATCTAGCCTGGCTACAGGTACTCAAAAAAAAATAAATTATATTGTTAACTTTATAAAAATATTTTTAAAATTATATATATTATTTAAGCTAATTTTAACTATAGTTCAAATATAATTAATCCTACTATAGAAGTTTTTTTTTTATAAGTTCATACATAGTATACTGTATATATTCATCTTTCATTAGGCTAATTATATGCCATATATAAATTCATATATGATATCTTATAATACAGTTCAATAATTATATCTTTTATAAATCTTAGTATAAGTTGATTTATTTAAATTTTATAATATACAACAATAAATATATATAGTTTCCGTGTATTTTTTTTTTTTTTGAGTTAAATTCATATATTTTTTTTCTTTTTTGTTTGCGTAATGCTTAGGAATATACGTTATTTCGTGTGGTCGTTCTGCAATCCAAACCTCTTGAAAAGCACACAACATTCGCACGCAAAGGTATACCCACAGTCTATTTTTTTTACAAAGGGATTTACACTTGAAAAATAATCCATCAAAAAAAAAAAACATGCGTTCTCTTGGAGAGATGAATATAAGTATAAAAAATTTATATGAATAAAAATATGCCCATTCAAGAATTTTTCTGATGCAAGGAAATAAAAAACTTCGAAAATTGGTGAAAAAAAATAAAAAATAAAATAAAATAAACGAATAGTTTTTTTTTTTATCGTTAATTCATTATGGGGATCATTGTTTAAGAAAAATGGTGTTGTGACAAAATGGACCGAGAGAGATAAAATCGGAAAAGATGATGCGCATTGGTGAAGCGTAAAGTTAATATGGCGATCAATGACAGTGTAAACACGTGGTGATTTCAGCGGGGAGGGGAGGTGGTGAAGGGTAGGGCATCAAATGCGAAGAAATTGAAAAAGATTGCCGGAATAACAAAGTGTCCCTCTCGGAATATTCTATAACTATTTAACAAGTCCATTCGGTCACCAAAATAGAATAATCCAAAAGTTCCAAGAAAAAACGAAATAATAATGCCAATAGAGTTAAAGAATGTCCAAGTGAAATCGCTTCCCTCTAAAAAGATTTTTCAAAAGGGGTTGTTTTTTTTTTGATTTTGCTCTTCCAAATTTTTCTATTATTCAAATGATTTGACGCATGTCATCCTTCAAAACACTCACGCTTTTTAACCCCCCTTTTTTTATTGCTTATTCATAATAATTTACACTCGCAACAAACTCTCCTAAAAGTCACTACGATTTTTTTGTCTTTTTTGGTGCGATGAATGATTTGGGAAGACTTGCGCTAAATCAAAATTGTGTGAAAAGTGGGCAAAAGGAAGGTTAGAAATAAAGGGAATAGCGAAAAGAATTTACTCTAGCAAATAATATAAACTATTCTGCCAATAAGCCATCGAGAGGGATGAGGGAAAAGGTAAGTAATAGATGATCAATGTTTCTTACTAGAAACGTAAGAGAAAGCCAAATTACTCACGGAATAAAAGTCCAAAAAATATTTTTTGCGCGGATAGAAAAGGATTGTTGAGTATAAAGGTCTTGTGATATGCACAAGAAAAGTGAAAATAAATAATAAGATAAGCAAAGTGGGACAAAAAATTGTTATAAATAGGCGAGCATGTCGTTAATCGACTTAAAGGAGTGTGTAATAGGTGGAATTATCAGCACGATCGGTCATATGCTAATTTCCTATTAGAACCAATAGGCAGCTTCAGGCTCCATTGTGGTTTGAATTTGGAATAAAGACGTGTAGTTGCAAAACGTTGTGTATACAATCTTAAGGTTCTTGGTAGATTGGTTTTTTTTTTTTTTTTTGGTGGCTTATATTTATAAAGTGGTGTGAAAAGGAGTAAATAACAGAACTACACACAGGATTCCTTTTAAAAACCACAAGAGATCAAGGGAAAATGGTAAATAGTAATAATAATAATAATAATAATAATAATAATAATAATAATAATAATAATAATAGTAAATAATTCACGTGAAGAAAGAAACAACTTATATGTACATTTATCCCCCACGCAAATATCTCATTCATCACTCGGCAAAATTAATAATGTCCATCCCATCAACCAGGAAAAAGAAAAAGAAAGAAAGTAAAGAAAGAAAGGGATCCTCCGAATAAAAATCGCTGATCTATTCGTTCTACTTGAATAACAACAATAGGTGGTTGTTATATACGCCACCGAGAATTCAAGCGTGAAGCAGAGTTATTGCGTGTCGATTTTCCCATAACTGCGGACGCGGAATTATTTTTCCTAGATCGCCACAGGGATGTGACCCCGGAATTACGTTCGCGCGTACTATTGGTCTTCTTCATTCCTACCTCATCTTGTGGAAGGTCATTTGCAGGTAGTGGGGACGCGGACCTAGGCAAACTTGGCAACGATGGTGGTCTGGTGAGTGAACTGAGGGGAATGGTCATTGACCGTCGTGCTGAGGGTCGTCTTTGAACTTTTTCATGCAAATTAGAGGAAACGCTAAAAACCGATGCGTTTCCATCATATGGTTTTTCGTTTGCGACTTGGTGACGTTGATGTTTATATGGCTCAGGGCTGGGCGCTGTGTCTGGTAAGGCGCAGAAAAGCAAGCTAACACGTTCTTGTTCAGTATTCCAATGCGGACAACACAAACGATATTCGAGGGGGATGGGATTATCATTCTTATCAATAATTTTTCCCCGTTTCACATAACTCTCGAAGTATGGACCGCCACAAAAGCTGCACTTTTTGGCACTGGCGAGATAATCCTTGATATGATCTGTTGTATCTTCCAATATCGGAACCTGAAGTCTAACAATCGTGCGAGCCGCAAGTTCCATGAGGGTGGGTGGTGAATGTGTAATTTGATGCACAAATTCTGTTACAAGTGGACACCCATCAGTCAATAATTTTCTAAGATATTGGAGTCTTCCGAGTTCGGCGGGTAGAACAGTGATGGGATTTTCACGAATGTCCAAATTTACAAGCGTTTTGATTTGACCAATTTCGGGTGGTAGCTCGGTAATTTTATTATTGTTTAGTAGTAGTGTACCTAATTTCTTGAGCGATCCAATAGACGATGGTATCGTTGTTAATTGATTCTTTGATAGCTTCAGGTCGGTAAGTTTATGCAGAAATCCAATGGTATCCGGAATGCATTCTAACTGATTCTCGGAAACGTCGAGTGTTTGCAGATTTTTCATGTATCCAATTTCTGCCGGTATTTCTGTCAATTCGTTACAACATCTTTAAAAAAAAAAACAAAAAGAAAGGAAAGGATGTTAGGTAAAAGGAAATCGAAATAAATGAACAACATTTAATCTCGCGCTTCCAATCACGCAATCAATATTACTTACATTTGTAAGCACGTTGTGACAAACAAGAAACATATATTAGGACTTAGTTTGACCAAACCAAGCTTACAAAGTCCAATGTTTTTTAAATTTGGTAATTCACTGAACATTATTTGATTCTGATTGCTCTGAGGATTGAACTCTTCTGGTATTCCAATCGTCCCCTGGCAACAAGAGCTGTTATCATCGTGATCATGAGGGTAATGCCACGAAACCTCATCCGGGGAGATACCATCAGTGGCCGCGGTGTTTATCGAAGCTGTCTCACCTGTTGGTGTCAAACTAAGGTTATTTGATACGTTTCGAAGGTGTGTATTGAGTTCAAGGAGGTCATTAATGAGCGACTCCGAACTGTCAGGTGAGAGATGTACATTAGACCGTATCGTTGTTGGGTTGAGACCTGTTATCCTGTGCCGACGGTCCGATTTCACGGAGACATAACCGAAAGGCAAGCGAGCTTGTTCTTTGGTAAGTTGTCCGCCCATTTTCTCGTTATATTAGGATACTTTTGATAGAATATTATTATTGTTTATTCTAGTTTATATGAATTAAGTTCCCCTCACGACTTGTTGCAAGAAATGAAGCCAAGATGATGAAAGGTGAGGTTGCGTTTAATACTATACACTGAATAGTCTAAAGTATACTATTAATATGGTATGCATATGCTTATTACACCAAGTTATTAGTTAGTTACTCTTTTGTTGCTTGCCTCGTTATGTAATCCAAAGAAGCGGAAAAGTGTTAAGAATTGCGGGTGAATAGATGTGGCTGATACGCAAAAAAAAATTTTTTTAAAAAAGAAAAAAAAAAAAAAAAAAGCAAAAAGAGGTGGTTATGAGTTGTCGAACGAAGTAAATTTGTCAACAAAGAAAACCCGTTTCAACCAATGTATATTTATATGTTGCCAGGGACGAAGGCGAACATTATTGTTTCAAAAGTAAACCAAACTGATTCTACAAGAAGCCTATAATGGTTTTATTAAGTGGAAGAGAAGAGAAAGCACGGGAGGTATTTTATAACGAAGGGTCGAATAAGAGTTATCGTTTGCTTTTCGATGCTCAACAACAAAAGCACAGGTTACTAAAGAGAAAAAAAAAGATAAAACGGGAATAAGCTCGCGCAAATAAAACAGGCAAAAAAAATGAGGGGGATAAAGTTCGGCAAAATTTTGGGCATCCTAGAATTCATATTACGTAGATTGTAAATCTGAATGAATGCATACCATGTCGTGATCAAATTAAAATGTTAGTGGTTCTTTCTGTGTAATGATACATTATTATTTGTTTGGCACTCGAAGTGGAACCATTCACTCCAAAAACTGAATACCTGATACGTTTATCTTTAATGAGGCTTTTACATCGTCCTGCCAGTTGAGGAATATGATGAGACATGCATTACCCAAATATCGTAAGCTTCCCCTCACCAAGTATTTTTAATCCTCGTTTGTACGATTCAGATTTGTCAATTGGATTTAATGTTGCATGACTTCTATATAAATTGCAAGATCTTTATGGAGTCCGGTTAACCGGGATATACTGTATAAATTTTCCGATATAATCGAACTTGTCAGGTTCATAAGGGATGTTCCGTTTAATCGATATGCCATATATAAAGTTATGGATTTCCGACATGCACACACACACGATTATGAACTTGTTTTTTTATTAATTTTCATGGAAGTCAGAAACATTTCTTCCAATCCAGCTTCTCTCGCCCTTTTTTTTAAAAAAAAAAAAAAAAAAAAAAAATTTTTAAAATTCAATCTCCAGAGTTCCTATCTTTCCCGTACTAGGTGTTCTATCTTACCTTGACGAAATTTCAGACATACTTTCAATCTCCGAAATCCCAGGTTCGTCGCGTCCCAACCTTAATTTCACGTATTCGCCATAATTTTGTAAAGATGCGTTCTCGATCGTCTCTGCTTCCTCTGAACGAACGGTGATCGCTTGCCAATTCAACTTCTTTTCCCACGAATTATGTTAGTTGGACGAAATCCAATTCGAAAAGTTGAAGCAGAGCAAGGATTATATTATATACCTTCAATCTTGAGATATATTCTTGAACATTGACGTGCAATCCTTCGGCTATTATAATTCCAGGGTATCCAGGCTTTGAATACCCTTTACATCAGAGTGAATGCGTTGTTCTTACTTGGGAAACGAATATTCGTCGAGGCGAGAACGAATTAGACCCTACAAACCCCAAATTCCTAATTCTTCGGCCCACTTGCAAACGTTTTTTCTTTTCTCAAGCGACAAAAGATGATGAGTCCATATCAATATCCTGCATATTCTCAATGCGTCCTCGTTATTCGCATCCGGATCTGGTGTCTCGGCGGCTTCCCTGAAAGTAAGCTGTTGTAAAAATGACCTCACGTGTTGATAAAGATCGAAAATTGGTGAAAAAAAATAAAAAATAAAATAAAATAAACGAATAGTTTTTTTTTTTATCGTTAATTCATTATG